ATTTTACCATCTCTTCATTTGACGACAAAAAAAAAAAAAAAAAAGCTTGTAAGAGATTAGAACTCTCCCAAGTCTAGAACTACTTCTATTATCCTTAGATAGATTTTGTAGGGCACAAATTTTATTGAATGAAAAGGCTTTGCTATAATTACCCACAGAAAGTAGAAGTGCTCAGATATTGATTCTACAAAAACATAGATAACTTGTATTTGGTTTCAAAGTATAGGGCTTGAGCCTAATACCTCATCTATTGACTATTCAAGAAGCATAAAGACGCAGAAGACCAAAAGTAAAACAAATGGTATATGATTACATGCAAATAACGTAAAAGTTATAAGAAAGAGTGAGATTATCTTTAATAGAAATTTTCAAGAATCCATATATTTTCTGGTTTTATAGCCAAGATCAATGTCTGGTAACTGGTTTCAACTAGAAACATATGTCTAATGCCAGAGTACAATACTTACTCAATTACTCTGACACATTAAGCAAACTTTTGAATATTTCTTACTGGATACTGCAATGTAATATTTATTAGACACCTTCAAAGTACTAGACTTTAACTTCCAACAGAGGAAAGAAACTACTTTATCTATCACTGTATCAATGTTTCTAGAATGAAAGAATGGATGAATGAATTAATGAACGGTAAACTTAAGACTCAGAGTTTGATATTTGCAAAGTGTGATCTCTTAGGGGAGGGAGGGGGAGAAGGAGAAAGAGGAGAAAGGCACCATCCTAACTTCAACAGAAAATTCTCAGAACTTTTATTAAATTGAACCACTTGAAATTACCAGAATTCAACTGTTTTGCCCTACACAATTTAGGGCAACTTCACACATTTCAACCCGATTAATCACAATTAAACACATTACAGTTAATGATAGAATCTTATTTTCTTAAAAAAAAATGTAAAAGTAAAGAGCAAGCACTATTAACATCATAAGCTGGGCCCTATAACATCATAAGCTGGGTCCATAAAACATGCCTATAAATACAGAATCCTATTTGTCCACCTATCCAACTGAGTATCATAATAGGTTTCCATTTTAAAAACATTCGTAGTAAGGTTTCAATAGTAATATCTTAGCACTGTTAAAATGTAAGGTCCACTAAAATGTAGGTTCGATGAGAGTAAATCTTTATCATTTTTATTCTTTGCTGCATCCTAGAACCTAAAAAGATGCCCGTAACAGACATTTATTTAACAACAAATATTTATTGAGTACCCACTTTGTGTCAGGCATTGTTTTAGGTGCCTAGGATACGTAAGTGAAAAATCAGATGATGATCTTTGCCTTAATAACAAATGTTGAATAAAATAATAAAAATCTGCAAACTGTTAAAAAACACTTTATAGATAATATGTAATAAAACCTTATCATATTGTGTATGATAATCTCATGAGAATTCCAGAACCCATACTCCTACCCACTGTGCTTTAATCCCACCAAGATACAAAAGTATCTTGAAAGTAAAAAATATACTGCACTATCATTACAATTCCTTATTTCATGGAAACTTGAATTATCTTCCAAAAACACCTAAGCAAAAAATAAGACCTTCATTTGGCCATAGCACACTGCAGCTGCCCACAAATGAAAAATTATCAGAATTATTTATTTATCAGAGCAAAAGCACGAAATAAACTGCTACTCACGTTATTACATCTGTTTTTTGGTGAACTTAGGTGACTGAAAAGGTTACCGGTTACCACTTTTCACTTCATCACACAATGTACAATATTTTACTCCCTAGCATGCAACAATACACAAGACTCAAAGCTTCTGCTAATTCTTAATTCCAGCTGAATCCGTGTAAACTAGGAGACAGGGGGAAAGGAGCTAAATCAAGACAAGAGGATCTTTCAATTCTGAAGGTTTGTTCTTCATCAAAACAAATAAAAAAATCTTGAAATTGTTGTTGCCAATGCTAGTTACCGTGTTTTTTTCCTTCCTTTGTTTTTAGGTGAATGCTTTCATTACACAGGATAAAATGAGTAAACAGAATAGAGAAAAAGTGAAAGAACTGAGAACAAAGCAAAATCTGGAGTCATGGTTACAGTACAAAGATAAACCCAAAGATAAGGAATCAATTACAGGCTCTTCCTCACTCAGCGGCCGTGAATAAGCCATCAAATCCTCCTGATAATCGATTGTACCGGCTCTAAAGCTGGCCAGTGACACTTCCTTAGGAGATGCTCTGACATCCCTCCGACAGAAGATGCTGTCGAAATGTAAAAAAGCGGTTACCTAGGGAAACTAGCCAAGGAATGTCAGGAGCTCGAGGCTGGAGACACACCCCGGGACTCCAGCACAAACTGGCCTGGTGGTGTTAAGGCCGTGGACAATAATGGAGAGAGTCCAGTGGAAGGAAAACAAAATCTGGCCAGAGACTGGGATCACTAAAAGGGCACTCAGGAGTCAAGCAAGATCAGAAAATAGTAGGAAGAGACGTGCAGGCATCTTGCCAGAGGCAGGATCTGGCTCCGGGCTGGCAAGCGCAGTTGAAGACCGTCTAAGGCGGGGCAGCCCGGGAGCGTTCGCTCCACCGCATCGGGGACTGTCCGGCTCCCTATGGCCCCGGCCCCCGGAGACGCGGCGGCGACGCGGTGAGGTCCGCCGCTCCGAACCTGCCCTCGCCTTCCTGCTACTGGTGTCCAGGGTCCCCAGCTGTTCCAGGCCCGCTCTAGCCGTCCTGCCCGCATCCCTTCATCGCCTCACCTTCCAGTCCCTCCATTGCGCCACCGCCCCGAGCTCAGCGAGACTCCTCCAGCAGCGCCCGCCACCGCCCAGCTCTGGCTGTAGCAACCCAGCCGCACCTCCCACCCGCTAACATTCCGGGCTCCCATTGGTTCCGCAGCTGCGGGGGCGGGGATCCGTGGGGGCGGGGCCTCGGGGGAGGCTAGGCTCCTGCGGTCTCTGCCTGGCTGCCACCCGTCTGTGTCTCCCCCGGTTACCCTCCAGGGAGCCGCGAGCCGCTTCAGGTTGCATTCTGCGACGCAACGGCGCCTTTGTTTGACTCCAGCCTTGTTTTCCCTCATACCTTATCCTCCTATTTAGAGTACCTCAGCACCTCATGGACTCCGCTTCACCAGTTCCTCAAATCAAGTCAATGCCTCTGACTTCTAGCCGCCATCCCTCCCAGCAGATACTTTAAGCAGGCAAGCAAACCAAACAAACGCCCAGCACGCTTGCATGCAGCACTCTCTGTTTTCTGCTCTTTGGTCGCATGACTTGACCTTAGCGTATCCCCTAGACTTGATCTTCACACACAGCTTCATAGGTTAAGACACTTTTTTTTTTAGAGAAATCATACTTTCTATCGGCGATTGTGGAACTGCGATTGTTCTAAGCCCTTGAAAACAATTTCCTCACCACGAAAGCTTGGTCCAAAAATTAGAAGTGAAACCCAGTTCTCCCTCCGTCTTCTACTCTTGGCCTACCCTGTCCCTATACTTTATCGTCCTTGAACCAAAACAGTCGCCTGGCCTGATAATGTTTGATCTGGGAAGTTTGAGTTGAGGAATTAAGTTACAACCTGACAGAATGAGGCCCGCCCGTCTCTAACAGAGTTCAAAAACCTCCTGAAGATTAAAGTAACTTAAAAACTGAGACAATTTTAATTGTTTTGCTTACAATTACCAGAACGACATTTCTTTGAAAATTAGATTTAGCAATCGTAAACAAGCTGTATTGTTTGTTGACTATAGCGTATCTACTGGCAAGTTACCAGTATTAATGTGTTGTCCATAACAAACCTCGGATTAATTTTATTGTTAATCTGGTTAATTGAAGAGTTTAACTTCATATCTAACTTTACCTACTATGAAATCAGTTACCTTCAGGAAGCAGGATTCCTCCTACTCTCCACTCACATGAAGGTGTTGTTTAAACAAGGAAACAAACAGTTGAGGGGGCATCATCTCTTACTGAGAAGGTGCTCCAAGTGCATTTGAATGTGGTAGAGTCCATCTCTTGCGTGGAGCCATGTAAAGACCACTTCAACCATGCCTCAATGACTCCGTCTGCCCTTCCCCGGTTCCCCCTCTTCTTCTGTTCCTCTGAGATCCTGGGACTACTTGGCCAACCCATAGCCTTACAGGCAATAAGCTACTCTAGACTGAGTGCTGCGCATAGGTCCCTTTTCCTCCTCAGTGCTACTAAGGCAAAGGTAGAATTTTTGGTGGGGAGGAAAGGCCTTTTAAAAGAGCATTAAGGAGAAAAAAAGCACACAGAAGAAAATACAAAAAGAAGCCATTGTTACAAATTACAAGTTCTTTCACTGAAGGCAAGACGAATATTGAGTTGGCTGATACCTTATTTATCAGAGCAAAAGCACGAAATAAACTGCTACTCACGTTATTACATCTGTTTTTTGGTGAACTTAGGTGACTGAAAAAGTTACCGGTTACCACTTTTCACTTCATCACACAATGTACAATATTTTACTCCCTAGCAAGCAACAATACACAAGACTCAAAGCTTCTGCTAATTCTTAATTCCAGCTGAATCCATGTAACAATAAAAATAATAAAAATAGCAATAAAGAATAAATCACTTGAGGCATGTTTTAGGCCCTTGTCATATGTTCACGAATCTTCAAAAGAAATCTACAAAGTAGATACTACAATCTTCATTTGTCAGAATTAAAATTTTCATTTTCTAGATGTCTCAGAACAATTAATATTTTGTCAATATTTGTATCATTAGTGAATGGTGGAGCTTGGTTACACCCTTGTCTGTTAAATTCTAAAGCCTATGGTGATTTAATTGGGCTCCTCACTCCCCTTTCTTGCCTTGCCTTTTATTATAGCTGCCTCAAGTGTAAACCCAAGTGTTCAGATATGTTGTTTAACATATATTTGAGTAGGCATTTCTATAGTGAATCTTAATTCTCTAAAATATGATTGCTAGTCTTCCCTACAGGTATTGGTCTCTTCAGAACTTTTATGCTACAGCTACCCTGGCTCCTGCAGCTTTTCCCTGATTCTGACCCCTGAGTAAAGAGGACTTCTTCCTATCTGCCTTCAGTAAGTTCTTTCCTCTGCCGCCTACATACCTAGCCTGAGGGTCTCTTTTGTCTTAGCACTGTATCATGGCATTACTTCTGCAGTCTAGTCCATTTTTCAGGATGCATTCATTCAACAAATGTTTGTTGAGTACCTTCTATGCTTCAAGTCCATTTTATCACTAGCCAGTTACTAAAATGAATGAAACTCAGCTTCTTCTCATGTTTTTAAGCTCTTATCTGTACATAATTTTTTTTTACCTGCCATGTGATCTTGTTAACTGAAAATAACATTCATAGATCAATAAGAATTCGAGATCTTCCAACCTCTTTATCATACAAAAAGGAAAACAAAGTTTCAGAGATGTTTCTGACTTGGTCAAGATCACAAAACTAGTACTTAATTGAAATAGATATTATATCGGTGTTTTATTACATCATATCCTTGATTCTTTCCACTTTGCATTATATTGCCTTCAACCACCATTCCCTTGAACAGATCCACATCTATTCTGTATGTTCCAAAAAGCTGAGCAAGCTGCATATAGCTTCTTGTTTCAAAGCTCCAATCTCTTGAATCCCACACGAAGTTCAAGTCCCCTTTCAGAGAAAGCCATTGGTTCTCATTCAGATCATTTGCAGAGCACAACTAAATGAGATTCTGAGTCTCAGTGAGAACTCAGTTTATCACCTCCACTATGTAGGACATTTCTTCCTTCCATGACCAGCAGAGGAATGACCTACCACAGTTTAGCTTATAAAAATAATTCATACATTTTGTAACAATAAGAAAATTATAATTTGCATCAAAAAAACATAAGAAAATGTTTCCCTTAAAAGTGTTCTAGATTGAGGAAGAATACTCTTTGAGTTGGCTCTTGCTAGTTTTATTTGAAGTGAAAATAAAATTTTCTAAGTGTTCAGGGGGAAAATAGTGATAGTTTCTCATGGCCTGGAATAATCAGAAAGCATATAGGTAGGCTGTCACAGGTGAAGATTTATTGAAGGAAAAATGTCCTAGACAGGAAACATCAAGAAAAGAAAGGGGGGCTTTAAAAAATTGAGGAACTTAAAGCAAACTTTACCTACTATGCTGATTGAAGGGCTATTCCATTCATAGTGTGATAGCAATTCTAGCTCTATGCTTCTCTACTTTCAAAACTAATTTTCAGCTGCAAAAAGATCAGTTTTTTTTCAACTTTCAGCTATGATCTTGCCTATCCATCCCTTTGCATCACAATTTCAAATCTTAACTAAAAATCTATTAACCAAAATGTTTATTGAGGTCCTCTCTAGACTAGTCCATTTTTCTGATGCATTCTTTCAACAAATATTTGTTGAGTACCTTCTGTGCTTCAAGTCTATTGTATCACTAGCCAGTTACTAAAATGAATGAAGCTCAGCTTCTTCTCTTTGGTTTTTAAGTATTTGTCTGTACATATTTTTTTACCTGCCATGTGATCTTTTTAACTGAAAATAACATTCTGACCAATAAGAAATTGAGATCTTCCAACCTTGAGTCCAACACTGCTCTAGGCACAACAGAAAGCTTCAAAGGAATCTCTCTGATCTCTAGAAAGTTAACATCTAGTAAAGGAAACCCTGAGCAAGGCATAATACAGGGCAATAGAGTGGTTAAGAGTATTACGTTTTAGATGTTGTGGTACAGCTTATAAAAGCAATGGGTTTCACAAGTCATTTACATGAATGGAACAAGTTTAAAGGTTCTATAGATGTAGAACTTAAATTGTGTCGAAGAGTATCATAGAGATCACTGAGGATGTGGGGACAATGGCATAATCCTCCTTAAGAAAATGATGCAAGCCTGGAATGTTTTGGGACAATCTAAAGAATCAAGGAGAATATTTGTATATATTTTGGTGCATGTGTAACATTTGTTCCTCTTTATAGAACACAAGCATTATGGCTATATAATTTATATCTTTTTAATCTTAGGGGCAGGGTGTTGAGTTAATGATACTTGCTAACACACAGCACATACTTCAACTATCCATGCCAAGGTATCTCTTTTATTTTCCTTTTATTAATTTGTCATTCATCCCCCATTTTCACTCAATTTACTAGCCTCCTCAATATAGGTACAATTCTATTATATACATATGTCTTTGGATATGTGTGATTCTTTGAAACACATATGGTGCTGTTTTATATATGCATCTGTTTTTAATTTACATAAATGGCATTATTCTATGGCTTTCATTCTGTTTGTCATTTTAAAATTTTAATTTTAATTATTTTATTTAATTTTTAAATTTAATGTTTTTAATCATTCATTCAGAGATTCACCCATGCCACTCTATGAAATACAAGTTTATTGCTTCTGGATGTCAGATAATAATATTTTACTGTATGCATATGCCACCACATTTTACTTACTCATTTCTGTAGTGATGGGCACTGAGCTGGTTCTAACCTGCTGCTACAATGAACATCTTTGTGCTTGTCCCCTTATGAACCTGGGCTCAAGTTTCTCTGGGATGCATCCCTGGAATAGATTACTGGATCATATTCACTTCCACTAAGTACACCTAGATTTCTCTCTACAATAGTTATACCAGTGTACGCTCCCATCAGCAATGTACAGGCCCCATATTTCTATGGCTCAGTAATAGCTGTCTTAGCTCTAATTGTTGAATCAAGAGTTGGCCTTTTCTTCATATACTTGCTAATTCAGATTTGACTTTCAATGAATTGCCTGTTTTTATTCATTTGTATATTGAAATTCTCATCTTTTTCTTATGGATATGTAAATTCCTTGTGTGTGCTAGATGTTGACCCCTGCTAATTTCTATTATTAAAAAAATCTTTTT